TGACATTCAGTGGTATGCTTATTGCTGTACAATGCCTGACCATAAGTGTTAGAGCCAAATTATAGGAAAATATTTTTTGAATATTTTTGTTAATATTTTGAATCTGAATATTGTTTAATGCATGCTTAATAATAGGTAATCTGTCATAATTGAAAATGTGGAAATTTAGGCAGCATTATTGATGCTGAATTTCTATTGGTCAGTAGGTGGATTCTATGCTGGGCACGTGACAGAGGTTTTTTTTTATAGAAAAAGGGACATATGCGCAGCTTGGAAGCATATAGCTTTTTGACCGTAAGTCCTCATCCGTTATCGCTCTTCTGTGATTGTATTGGAAATATTTAAACTTATTCACGGCTGGAAGTGAACCTGTTGATGACAACCTTTCGAAAATAAAAGAGCTCAACGGTTACAAGGATTTGGAGTTAGTGAGTAAGCTTGTTAATGAAGTGGATGTTAGAATGGATGTGGATACGAGTCAAAAAATCACTAGTCTGCTCATATGAAGAAGTGGTTAGATTTATTTAAGTAAAACGCAGAAAATTTGCCACTACAATAAGTATTAACATTTTTTTAACTAAAAATTTAACTATTTCCATTAGAAGCGGGACTTAACTTACAGAATTAACTTAAGTGAACAAAAACCACAATACATGACAGAATTAGCAGCAGATGAAGGCATTGGACTGATAAACATTAAATATAAAATCCACAGTTATTGCAGCGTATTAAAGTATATGATTAAATACAATACAACAGATTTTAATGACTGTGGTTCAGGATCCAAGAGGGTCAAGACACCATCCACTACTGTAATACATTATAATATTTGTTTAAGACATTTAACAGAAAGCAAGGCAGAGAGGGGAAACAGAGTAAAGACCTACCATATTTTTCGGACCATATGACGCACTTTTTCTCCCCCAAAAGTGTGTGGAGTTTGCATGTTCTCCCCATGTCATCGTGGGGGTACTCCAGTTTCCCCCCACAGTCCAAAGACGTGCTGAAGCTACTTGGAGTTGCTAAATTGCCCTTAGGTGTGCATGTGTGAGTGAATGGTGTGTGAGTGTGCCCTGCGATGGGCTGGCCCCCTGTCCAGGGTTGTTCCCTGCCTCGTGCCCATTGCTTCCGTGATAGGCTCCGGACGACCCAGTAGGATAAGCAGGTTGGGCAGTGGATGGATGGACAAAGGTTACTTAAATCATGTTCTTACGCATTTAACCTGTTAGCTATTTTCTGCCATGCAGCCTCACGAGATTTGATGATGCAGCTCGTGTTCCCCTTTCTGGTTATTATGTCTTTGTAGTCCTCATAGGCTTCTCATTGGCTTCCACAAAATGTCAAAAAACAGGGCGCAATTTTTCACGCAATCTGAGCAGGACCTTTTATTAGAGGTGTATGATGAATTCAAAGATTTAATATGTACTAAATGACAAATTAAATGTGTAAGTAGCTTTTAGTTATTGTATTTATCACTTGAATGTAGTATTACGTTTCCAATGTTTCATTATTATTTTATTGTCATAATTACAGATAAAATACAAGCACAATCATGCAGGACATGGGAACAAGTTAAAGTGAAGTACAAAAATATACTTCAAACTGATAAACACGACATTTCATTCATATACGTGTGTGTGTTAATTTTATGTATATGAAATGTAGGAAATCTTTCATATTTATAAAACATTCCTTTTGAAGCTAATAAGAAGAAGGCAGACAAAACCTTTGGAAATTCTGGGTAATAAGAATATTAGTGTGATTTTTAAATTCTTTATAGAACTGTAATTTTATTGCGTATACATTACCTGCAGTGGCATAAAACACCTCTTTAATTGCCTGCACTTGCAGGTGTCCAGGAAAAACAATTGCGAATTGTCTGGCAAACATAGTTGGACTTCTACTGTACGGAGCTAATAAATCTTTAAAATATAAAATTTCATCTTGGCTGAAGCGATATTTTTTTAAAAGAATATCATCCAGCAACAATAAAGGATCTTACCGATCGCGCAAAACCCTCTCAATTTGAAATTTCCTTCTTATTATTTGTGCACTGATTGCAATTGCTCGCTCATCCATGAATGGTGAAGCCATGACTGAACAGATTTACATGCACGGACACTGATTAAGTGTGTAAGCTAATTCTTGTTTACATAGAACTGCTCCAAGCATGTTTGAGGATTTGGATATGCTGCTATGACAACACATCCAGCAAGAGTTTCGAAAAATCGACAGATCCAGGGTCATGCCAAATCGTCAACAATTACATCCGGCTAAACGAGTAATCCACGTATGAAAAATACCCCCCAGATATCTGGGATGAAAACAAACTGGCACCATTATACCTAAATATGTTTTTTTTTAGCATTTAAACACAAAATGAACCGGATAAAACAAGAAGAGCATATACTGTACTAAACACATCTAAGCACATTTATCAAAACAGTAATTTGTAAAGTAAGAAAATGCTCAGATTGAGCTCTAGGTAAAATTTTTTTCGAACTGGTTGGTTCGACTTTTAAGAAATTCAAGTTTTAATGGGTTTGAGAACTGAGGTACCACTGTATAAGAAATAATTTATTTGCCATGAATTAAGTCTATGATATTGAAAGAAATGTGTGATCATGCCCCAGTCAGTGAATGTGTGTTCCCTAGACCCCAGAGAGTTAAGGTAGCAGATAGGTGTCCTGTAGAATGTGGTAAATGCCCAGTCATGCTTTAAAAAAAATACTGTCGTACACTGTGAAACTGATATAACTTTGAAAAATACCGTGATATAAATACCAGCTCTATTCTCAGTAACTGGAGAAGTCTCGTTTTATGCCTAAGAATTCTACCATCAACCGTATCCTTGCACTGAGGGTTTTCGTCGAGTGCAAGCGTGAATATTGGCAGAGGTTCTTTGCAGCCTTTGTTGATTTTTGTAAAGAGGTCGGCTCAGTTGATCAAGTTGCCTTGTGGGACATTCTGAGACTTCACGGGATCCCCCAAAGTTACTGGATGTCATGGCCGGCCTGTACACAGGTACTGTGAGTGCTGTGCATAGTGGATCGAGAACCTCTGCGTCCTTCCGAGTTGATTCTGGAGGTTTGCCAGGGGTATGTTCTTGCTCCTACTCGCTTGTATGGACTGGGTGTTAGGCAGGGTCATGGGGTCAGGCAGCTGTGGGGTATTGGTGAAGAAAGATCTTGACTTTGCTGATGATGCTGTGATCTTAGCGGAGTCAATGGAGGCTGTGATTGGGGCTCTCAAGAGACTGAGCGAGGAGTCTCGGATTGCGGGTGTCCTGGATAAAGATCAAGATCCAGGCATTTAATGACTTCTTAGGCACAGCCATCAATAGTGTGTCTGTCTGCGGGGAGAATATTGACCTTGTAGAGAAATTTACCTACCTCAGCAGCGACATTCATGTCTCTGCTTACTCTTCCTATGAAGTCAGCAGGTGGATTGGAAGAGCATGGGGGGTCGTGAGGTCACTGATAAGGATTATGTGCCGCTCCCGATATTTTTGCAAGAGGACGAACGTCCAAGTCTTTAGAGTCCTGGGGCCAGTTGCACAAAACACCTTAAGTTAAGATTTTCCTTAAAGTCCGAGTTAAGGTCTCCTTAAAATAAAGTCGGTTGCACAAAACACCCTTAAGTCTCTACCTTAAGGTTTCCTTAATTTTTTCTCTTAAGTATTTAAGTTTTTCTCCTTATCTTGGTCTTATATTTAAGGAATCCCTTAACGGTTGCACAAAACACCTTAGCAACCAAACTAAGGAAAAAAAATTAAGGTACCTCTAACCTTACCTTAACTGCGAGATGGCGGAGTTTATGCTAATAGATAACGAAAATGAATGCATCCCAAAAAGAGTGTTCCGTGACCAGGAGAATCCCTTAGATACGCTCAATGATGAGCAATTGATTTTGCTGTATAAATTTGACCGGCAGTCAATTTATGATTTGTCCGACCGTCTACAGTTGGATCACTCCACAAACTGAAGCTGTGCTCTCCCAGCTGCTTTGCAATTAATGATCGCTCTGCGGTTTTATGCTACGGGCTCGTTCCAGGCTGTAATAGGCGATGTATTTCATGTTCACAAATCAACGGTGTGCCGCGTCATTCACCGAATTTCAAACGCCATTGCCGGTCTTTTGAATACCGTGGTGAAGTTCCCCTCAAAACCTGAAGAGGATGAAATAGCAACAAACTTTTTTAATGTAGCCGGCTTCCCAAGAGTGTGCGGTGTGATAGATGGGACCCACATCAGGATTCAAGCTCCGGTACAACACGAAGATCAGTTTATTAACAGAAAAAATCAATATTCAATCAATGTACAGTTAGTCTGCAATCATGAAAATAAAATAGGCTAACTAACGTTGTAGCACAATGGCCTGGCAGTACCCATGACGCTCGAATATTGGATGAGAGTATCCTTGCAAGGGAATTTGAGGAAGGGAGGCACAAAGGCATCCTCCTTGGGGACAGTGGTTATCCGTGTCGTTCATGGCTAATGACACCATTCAGAAATCCTGCCAACAGTTCTCAGGCAAGTATAGTCTAAGTATCCAAATTGTAAAATAGACCTACCTTGTTCAGCTGCATGTTTTACCTTAATTTACAATTTATTCAATGTGATTGATAATAATCGATAGTACCATGTGGTCCCCTCCCTCTTTCTAACAGGAGAGCTACAATTTTAGCTTGTGTAAAACACGGGCAATTATTGAGCGGGTCAACGGGCAGCTAAAACGACGCTTCCACTGCCTACATGGCGAGCTTCGTGTGGATCCAGGCAGAGCATGCAGGATTATTCTAGCATGTGTAGTTCTGTTCAATTTATCTAAGGGCAGTGAAGTAGAGGAGGATGAGCAGCAGGAGAACACTGAAGATGTGGAGGAGGATCGGGAGGAAGGAGTTGAAAACAGTGGATACACCGTGCGAGAGACGATAGTACAGAATTTCTTTAGCTATAAAGAATAATAGCTAGGCTATAAATAAAGAATGATTTGACAAATTATCGTAATTAAATTATTTTATTTCTCATTGAAAGAGTATGAATAATTGTAAATAGTTATGTTATAGATGTATAAATATGATTTAGAAATAAGTACAGGTATTATATAAATTTTAATGACTTTTATTAAGTGTACACGTCGCTATAGCTATCTATTCTTCTAGGGACGTTACAGTAAATGTAATTGATTCTTCGGTTAGCTTGCTTATTTTGTGTTGCAATAAAATATTGTTCATTTGCAAATTGTTTTTTTCTACGAGCAAGTTTTCAATTTCAAGCTCTAATTTCTTTTTTTGGAGAAGCAAAACCTCCTTTTGGAGTGCCAGAACAGCTACACCGTCTTCTTTCCCGCTGTTTCTGTAATACAAAAAAGAGCAAAGTATTAATACAACTAGCGATGTGCAAAAATATTACACAGGAGTCATAATGTCACGCCCAGCTCCGTACGATCATCGTGTGTGCCACGCCCACCTCGTTATCCCGTGTTTCTACCTGATTGTTCTCACCTGTCTCTTGTTAATACCAGCTAGTCTTCTGTATTTAGTCCTCGTCAGAGTCAGTCTTCCCCAGACTTGTCATTGATGTTTGCTGTCGTTCTACCCCGTGTTGTTGCCTGTTTCCCTATTAAATCCCCGTTTTACCCGACTTCCTGGCTCTACTCCCTTGCTTGCCCGTTCGCCTACCGACGATCGTGACACATAACTTGCAATTTTTTTTTATTAAGTATAAACTTTAACTGCACTGCGATAAGAAATATAATTGAATACTGTGTGAGACTGAAAATGCTTATTATACAGTATGATTGGATCGAAATTTAGTGCTGTATTTTTTCTGTGTAATTGATCCGGGAAAAGGTAGCACGGCGTACCAAAAACTTACCTTGACACCCCCGGTGTCTTTGGAGGGTTAGCTGGGCTGCGAGGCATGACAATCGATGTACTTGCAGCCGCAACGTCATATTCTTCCGTCATTAACTCATCTGGCTCACTGAACAAGGTTTTACTAGTTAAATATATAGTCATGACATTAACCCTAATGT